GGAGGATACTGCCCCTCCTTCTCCAGCAGAGCATCTGGTGGACTCAAACCACGTACCTCTGGGACTGCAGTGCAGCTTCTTGCCACTAGGCCACCAGAGCTCAAATTTTTAAAATTTTTATTTATTTTGTGTGTGTGTGTGTGTGTGTGTGTGTGTGTGTGTGTGTGTGTACCGTCAAATCAGATCTGACTGGTACAGGAGGAGATTGCCCTCCTTCTCCAGCAGAGCATCTGGTGAATTCAAACCACTCACCTCTGGGAAAATTTGAATAGGTGCATTTTTTTTAATTTTATTGTTTATTTTTGTGCGTGTACCGTCAAATCAGATCTGACTGGTACAGGAGGAGATTGCCCCTCCTTCTCCAGCAGAGCATCTGGTGGATTCGAACCATGCGCCTCTTGGATTGCAGTGCGCCTTCTTGCCACTAGGCCACCAGAGCTCCCCGAATAGGTGCATTTTTGACAGCCAAAAGCTGTTATGTGCCTTTTGGGAGTGGAGATTCCCATGGCTCTGTGAGAACTCAGGTTGGTTTGGGAATCAAAAGAAAGCTCACACATTGCCCTGAGCAATGTAGAATGATTTATGGGGGGCACATGTTGCCACTGGGATTTGAGTGGAGGTTGTGCGGGTGAGCATGGTGAGCTTCTTTTGACTGACCACCAACCGCCCCTTCCTCAGCCAGGGGCAGCAGTTGTCCACCGAGTCCCTACAGCAGCTGTTGGAGCGAGCGCTGACCCCACTGGTGGACGAGGTGAAGCAGAGGGGCCTGGCTCCTGCCTGCCCCAGTTGCCAGCGGTTACACAAGAAGATTCTGGTACTAGGACTTGTGGGACACCCTGCCCCGTTGTGCTTCTCTTCAGGCTAGCAGCAGGGCAAGGGGAATCCAAGGCAAAAGACTACTCCTGGTGTGGGCAGAAAGGGAAGGACAGAGCTGTGGGCAGCCACCATTAGAGCAGGACTTGGCAGTAATGTATGTTGCAAGCTGTTGGGTAAATAGGGACTTATTGGTCAGTCAATATAGAACCTTAGATGATGGACTCAAGCCTAAAGCATGATGGGGAAAATTAATTTGGTGCATTCGGAGACATAGGGGGCAGACAGTAGTTTGAATATCATGGAAGCTGGACCTGATTGCCTATAAAATGTAGGACATTATTGCATGGCCTCTTAGGAAACAGACTTGAGACCCACTCAGTGTAGGTCCCCATAACACTCTGGGAAAGGGGGCCCCAGCCCCTTGTGGGACTTTGTAACATCATTTCAAGCCCAGTTGCTAATGGGATTCAGGAAGTGTGGAGACTAAATTCGGCCTGAAGCGTGATTTAAGAGTTAAGTGACAGTTGATGCAGAATGGGGCAGAGCTACAGAATGAATGCAAGACACGCAGACCCAGAAACTGCGGACTCTTAATATGATAGAGATGCTAGTTTCACGCATAAAGAGAGGTGCAGTCTGGTAAATTATGGGAGATCACCATGTGAAGGGGTGCTGGGGCATAGATGTGCCAAACGATGGATGGCTCATGGGTGCAGTACATTTTGCATTAGGGTACAAGCCGGCCAACACAGAGTTGGTGCCTGATGGCATATAGGAAGCCTGTTCCTGGTGGTATTAGGAGCTATTCTCGGTTTTGTTTGTTGCGTTGTTTTTTGTTTTTGTTTTTTTTTAAATTCTTTTTTGTGTGTACCACCAAATCGGATCTGATTGGTACAGGAGGAGATTGTCCCTCCTTCTCCAGCACAGCATCTGGTGGATTCGAACCATGAACCTCTGGGATTGTAGTGTAGCTTCTTGCCACTAGGCCACCAGATCTCCCTTATTCTCGGTTCTGAAGCATGCTAGGACATAGAAGGCTAGTGCGTTGTGAGAGACAGGATATCAGTCTTACTCTGGAAGCATGATAAGATACAGAAGGATAGTCTTTGTGGGAGACGGGTGTCTTAATTCTTGAATCATGATAGGATATATGAGCTAGTGCATTGTAGAAGGCCACCGGTAACTCTCTGGAGCCATGATGGGACATGGAAGGCCAGTGCCTTGTGGGTTTATGTGAGTCAGCCTCAAACTTAAGGCATCATGAAACCCAAGTCCTGTGGGAAAGACTCTGGGTCCCTCAGGGGAAGAAGGTGGGCCCCACGGGCCCCTGCCCCATGCTCTCGGCGACCCAGCTCCCCCTCCACCCCCAGCCCGGTCAGGCAAGCCCAGCCGCGCCCACACTCCTCTCCCCAGGAGCTGGAGCGCCAGGCCTTGGCCAAACATGTCAGGGCAGAGGCCCTGAGCTCCACCCTTCGGCTGGCCCAAGACGAAGCCTTACGGGCCAAGAACTTGCTGCTGACGGACAAGATGAAGCCGGAGTGAGGAAGGAGGCTGAGGGCATGGGAGGAGGGTGAGATCTTTGGGAAAAGGGCCTGGGTTGCCTCCCCCTTTGTCCAGTCCCCACCCCCACCCCACCCCTGACCCCCAGCACCAAGAGTCAGCAGCGCCAACTCCCACCTCCTCGCTCCTGCAGGGAGAAGGTGGCCGCTCTGGATTACCTACACTTGAAGATGTGCTCCCTCCATGACCAACTCAGCAACCTACCACTTGAGGGGGCCACGGGGACAATCGGAGGAAGTAGTGGGGGGAGTCCTCCAAAACGGGGGGGCTCAGCCCCTGAACAATAAACCGGCCCCTCATGCTGGCATGAATTCCGTTTCCTTTTTTTGCCACTAAAGGATGCAAATGTTCAGTTAAAAATTCTTCAACATCAAGGGGAGCTCTGGTGGCCTAGTGGCAAGGAGCTGCAACTACAATCCCAGAGGCACGCATTTCGAATCCACCAGATGCTCTGCCGGGAAAAGGAGGGGCAATCTCCTCCTGTACCAGTCAGATCTGATTTGACGGTACACGCACACAAAAATAAAATAAAATTAAAAAAAAATTCTTCAACATCAACATGAGGCTGCAGTCGACGTGCACGCTATTAGCCGCCTTCAGCCAGCAAGCACGTGCCAAGAAGCCCTGTGGAGCAATAGTTAAGGGCTTGGCTGCCAATCCAAAGGTCAGCAGTTCGGATCTCCCCAGTGGGTCTGTGGAAGAAAGACGTGACAATCTTCCCATAAGGATTGCATCCCGGAAGACGCTATGGAGCAATTCTGCTCTGTTGCTTCGGGTCACTGTTAATTGAAACTGACCTAGCAAATTGCCTGAGTTTCCAGAGAAATACTAGTGGTGGTACAGTTCTTTGCAAAGAATGCAGGGATAGAAACGAGGTTCGCTGGTGCAGTTTGGACCTGTCAAGCCAATATATTTTTTTATTTTATTTTAATGAATGTTAACAGAGACTCAGGGTTTCCAGTCATTCACTGCTGCACTTTTCTCACTGCCCACCCCCGTCCCCCTAACAAGCCAATATTTTTAAGAGTGATTTCAACTAGGTAGGCAGTTACAAATTTGCTAAATTTTCAAATTTCCAAGAAAATGGTTGTGTAAAATATTACCTCTGAAACATACCACCGTAGGACCTCATAAATGTATTATCTCCAAACAACAAATGCTGGTGAGGTTATGGAAAAATTAGAACCCTTATTCCTTGTTGGTGGGAATATAAAATAGTGCAACCACTATGGACGGCAGTATGGCGCTTTCTCAAAAAGTTGCAAATAGAAATACCATTTGACCCAACAATTGCACTACTGAGAATATATCCTAAAGAAACCATAACTGCCACCCAAGCAGATATATGCACACCCAAGCTTATCGCGACTTTGTTCACAGTAGCAGAGAGTTGGAAACAACCCAAGTGTCCATCAACAAACAAACGGATATAAGAAGCTGTGGTATATTCACAAAATGGAATACTATGCAGCACTGAAAAACAAGGAACTCATGAAATATTATACAAAATGGTTGACCCTGGAGGACATGATGCTGAGTGGAATATTTCAGTCACAAAGGGACAAAAACTGCATAGTGCCACTGTTATAAAACAGGACTGACATAGAAGGTGGGGAAAATCTAAGAAAAGAGGGAATAAGTAATGTACACTGCATTGAAACAGATGAGGGACAGAACTGTTTGAAAAGAATGTATTAGTAGGTATTATTTTCATGACAAGAGTCCAGAATGAGAGCTTCATGGGAGAATGGACTGGGGGTGGGGATTGTATAAAAATGAAAGTTGGTTGGTTGGTTGGTTGTGTTTTTTTCAAAGAAAAACCAACTAGGGGGAGGGGTGGGCAGGAAGGAAAATGTGCAACAATGAATGAATGAATGAAAATCCAAAGTCTCTATAAACATTCATTAAAATTTAAATTAAAAAAATGTATTATGCTGTCCAAAGGCTAGGAGCCTAGGAGTGCCTTGCCCAGGTGATTCTCATTCAGGGTCCTTGTAAGGTTATGTCCAAGAAGTGTGCTGCAAGGGGAGCTCTGGTGGCCTAGTGGCAAGAAGCTGCAACTACAATCCCAGAGGTGCACGGTTCGAATCCACCAGATGCTCTGCCGGGGAAGGAGGGGCAATCTCCTCCTGTACCAGTCAGATCTGATTTGACGGTATACGCACACAAAAATAATAAAGTAAAATAAAAAGATTTTTAAAAAAATTAAAAAAAAAGTGTGTTGCAGCTGTGGTCTCATGTGAAGGCTCGATCGAGGCTGGCGGATGCACTTGCAACATGCCTTGTTCACATGGCTCTTGGCTGGGAGGCTCCTCCTTACCATGTAAGGAATGTGGACTCTCCACAGTATTGATTATTACATGGTGGTTGGCTTCCTGCAGAGCAAGCCACCTGAGAAATTGCAAGCAAGGGGCCATACACTTCATTTCACAGCCTCGTGGTAAAAGGTTTAATGGTTAATTAACACTGGAAAGAGGCTTTAGTCTCTCCAGTCACATAGCTCTTATTCTCCCTTACTGTCATTTATACATATATAGGAGCCAAGCTGACTATAGTCATTAGAAATGATTCACGGCGAGCTCTGGTGGCTTAGTGTCAAGAAGCTGCACTGCAATCCCAGACATGAGCAGTTCGAATCCACTAGATGCTCAGCTGGAGAAGGAGGGACAATCTCTTCCTGTACCAGTGAGATCCGATTTGACGGTACACACACACACACACACACACACACACACACACACACGAAATGAGTCACTAGGTCCAAACCACCCAGAGGGCGGGTTTTGAAGAATCTGTGAGCATATTTTGACATAATGTTAAAATATATAAACCATAATTTGTGGCTAACAGTGGCTTTAGAGGAGGGAATGAAAGTAGATCGGGGTTTACTTTTTGAAGCAGAATAGCTAGATTGTTGAGTTCTAGGAGAGCTTTGGTGTAGTCTGTAGGGCACTGCCCTGCTAACTCAAAAGCCAGTCAATGCTTCTCTGGTTCAAATCCACCACGAACTCTGCAGCAGAAAGATGGGCAATCTCCTCTTACGTGATTTGTTGTTGTTTTTATGTGCTGTCGAGTCGGCTGCACATCCATACTGAAGACTATAGTCCTTGACCTTCTGCAGCAAGTGCTCCAGGTCCTCTGCAGTTTCAGGAAGGAAGGTTGTGTCATCTGCCTATCAGGAAGCTCCAATCCCGATGCCACATTCCTCCTCATAAAGCCCAGCCTCCCTAATGATCTGGTCCACATTATAGATTGAAAAGGACGCCTCCCTGATGCATTCCTTTCCTGATTTTGAATGATTCCGTGTCTCCTTGTTCTGACAGCCTTGAAAATCCAACAAAGCATCAGTTATGAGTTAGTTTTGACTTGAGAGCAGTGCATTTGAGATTCTTTCCCGCTTTGCTTTCTGACAGCTCACACTTTTGCTCGCCGGAACACTCTTACGTGACGCTTGTGGGAGGTCTGGAGTCCTGATGTGGAAGCACTTTTGTTTATTAAAGTTATAAAAGGCCCCGGTTTCCCACTAGTGAGCCAGGGCTCACCCTGTAAATCAGCCCCGTGAACTTAGTGCTAGTCTTTGGTCTCTCACCCTCCTCCATTATTTGGAAGCTCATTTAGAGTTAATGGTCCGTGTTGAGACAGAATTGATGCTGAGTGAACACCTACTTCCTGTCTGGTGATAATTTGGAAATGAACAGCAGTGATAGTTGCACAACATAGTGGACGTAATTTGTGCTACTGAACTGTACATGTGAGAGAGATTGAAATGGCTCTTCATCACATGTCTACATTGTTGTTGTTGTTGTGTGCTGTCGAATCGACTCAGACCCACAGCACCCGTATAAATAACAGTTCAGAGCCATGCCCTATCCTGAGCCAACCTCACCGTCTCCACCACACTTGGCCCCGTTGCCACAGTCACTGATTCAATCCATCTCACCCGGGGTCTTCCTCTCCTGTACTGACCCTCCACCCTTCCAAGCGTGATGTCTTCCTCCGAGGACTGGTCCCTGGTCGACATCATTACTTACATGTATTTTGGGGGACACAATTCCATCCATGCTAGTTATCTATTGCTGGAGGAGGGTGGAAATGACTCCAGAACTTAATCATTCAAAACAGCAAACGTCTATTATTTAACACAGTTTCTAGAGTCAAGAACCAAAACAGTGGGTTAGCGGCGTGGTTCCTGTTCAGTTTCCCACATGGGTCAGGAAGGCAGGCAGGATGCAGTCCTCTCAGGCTTCATGGGGCTTGGAGCCTCTGCTTCCATGGTGACTGAAGGTTTCAGCTCATCACACGGGCCTCTCTCCATGGGCTGCTTGAGTGCCCTCAAGGGTTGGGTGTTCAAGAATGAGCTTGCATTGCAATGAATTACTTAATAAAGCCTTTCTAAAGGGAGCACTCATGTGGCTTAGTGGCAAGAGGCTGTGCTGCAATCCCAAAGGCACACGGTTCGAATCTACCAGATACTCCATGGGAGAAGGATGGGCAATCTCCTCCCACATGATTAACTGCCTCTGAAAACTCACTGGAAGGTCATCTATGCGTCGGCTCAGACCCAACAATTCACAGCAATGACAGCCATAGTAAGGGAGCTCTGGCGGCTTAGTGGAAAGGAATTACCTTGGCTGTAAACCCAGAGGTACACAGTTCGAATCCACTAGCTGCTCTGAAAGAGAAAGATGGGCAATCTCCTCCCATACAATTTACTTCCTCTGAAACCCTGGTAGAAGGTCAGCTGTGGCTTGGTTCTGACTTCATGGCACACAACAAGAAGCCAAAGTGTTTGTAACCTCCTCTAATTGACTGGATGGGAATATGCAAATGAGATGCTAGTGGCCCACCAAGGAGATTGGGTAGTTTGTAATAATGTTAATAAAGTGTCATGGTGCCTTTGTGTGGATGGGCTATGCAAATAAGGTGGATGGGACCTGAGGATGGTATTGGTCAGTTTTGTCATCCCACTATGTTTGAATAGAGCCTTCCCAGGGGGAAACAAGGGCACCTGACTGCCACCAAGAAGAAATGACAGGAGTGGAACACCTCTTTAGGACCTGTGGTCCGGTCCCTGTGCTGTGAACTCCCAGATCTAGGACACCAGAGAGAGCATAAGATAAGAAAGTAGAGGCTGAATGCTCACCCATGTTTTTTGTGGCTTTGTTCACAATATCAAAGAGTTGGAAACAATACAAGTGCCCATCAACAAATGAATGGATAGAGAAGCTCTGGTATAGTCACACAATGGAATACTAAGCAGCATTGAAAAACAAGGAACTCATAAATTATTATGGAAAATGGGTGACC